AAAAAAATTCCATTTGGGGGGGGAAAAATTCCCATATGTGGGGAAAAAAAATTCCATTTATGGGGAAAAAAAAATCCCATTTATGGGGAAAAAAATTTCCATTTATGGGGAAAAAAAATCCATTAATGGGGGAAAAAAATTCCCATATTTATGGGGGGAAAAAATTCCTATATGTAGGGAAAAAAAATTCCATTTAGGGGGAAAAAATATTCCACTTATGGAATAAGTGGAAATAAATTCCCATATGTGGGGAAAAAAATTCCATTAATGGGGGAAAAATAATTCCATTTATGGGGAAATAAAATTCCATTTATGGGGCCGATCCTGACGGAATTCCCTGTTTTCTTTCCCCCTTTTCCAGGGCGTTGTCCCAGCTGGCAGCAGGTGAGTAAACTGGGTGAACTGGGTGTGAAATTCCCGGGGAAAATTCCCGGGATTTTGGGGGGTTTTATTCCCTAAATCCCATTTTTTCCCTCCTCTCAGCCTGGAGAGTTGGATGTTCCTGAAACCCGAGCCCGGATTTTCCGAGCTGGAAAAGAAACTCAAGAGCTTTTCCCAGAAAAGTGCAGTGCTCAAGGAGGTGCTCCTGGAATTCAAGGGTGAGCCTGGGAAAAAAGGGGAATTCCCAGGAAAAATCCCTCCTGGAATTCTGGGAGAGCCACGACTGGGGTGGGATCGGGATCTTCCTTCGCTCCCGGGAGAGCTCCGGGTGTTGGAGGAGGGATTTCCCTGGGAAAGGAGGGATTTCCCTGGGAAAGGAGGGATTTCCCTGGGATTGGGGAGTGTGGGATCATTCCCATGGGATTGGGAGATCTGAGAATTCCAAAGGGGGCTCAATCCCTTCCTTGTTTTCCCACAGAGAACCTGCGCTTCGAGCTGGAGAACGACACAGGTGAGGAGCTCCCATTCCAAGGGATTTCATGGAATTGGCTGGGATTGGGGGCTGGGACCTCCCATTCCAAGGGATTTCATGGGAATTTTCCTGGTTTGGGGGCCCTGACCTCCCTTTTCCATGGGAATTTTCCTGCTTTGGGTTCCCTCATATCCATTTTCCAAGGGTTTCCATGGGAATTTTCCTGCTTTGGGGGCCCTGACCTCCCTTTTCCAAGGGTTTCCATGGGAATTTTCTTGCTTTGAGGGCTCTGAACTCCCTTTTCCAAGGATTTCCATGGGAATTTTCCTGGTTTGGGGGCCCTGACCTCCCTCTTCCAAGTGTTTTCATGGGAATTTTCCTGGTTTGGGGGCTCTGACCTCCCCTTTTCCAAGAGTTTTCATGGGAATTTTCCTGGTTTGGGGGGCCCTGACATTCATTTTCCAGGGGATTTCATGGGAATTTTCCTGGTTTGGGGGCCCTGACCTCCCTTTTCCAAGGGCTGAGGCTGGAATTTGCTGGGTTTGGGTTCCCTGTTGGGGTTGGGACACAGACACTGGGTCAGTCCCTTCTGTGGTGGGACAGTGACCCCACAAGTGACCCCAAAAGTGACTCACCCGTGTCCTCCTTGTCCCATTTGGGACCCAGACTCTGGATCACCCCCAGTGACCCCAAAAGTGACCCCAAAAGTGACCCCCCTGTGTCCTCCTTATCCCATTTGGGACACAGACACTGGATCAGCCCCCTCACAGCTCCAGGAATGACCCCACAAGTGACTCCCTGTCACATTTGGGACACTGATGATGGGGGAATCCCCTCACAGCTCTGGGAATGACCCTACAAATGTCCCCCCCGTCCCATTTGGGACACAGACTCTGGATCACCCCCAGTGACCCCAAAAGTGACCCACCTGTGTCCTCCCTGTTGGGTTTGGGGGACAGACTCTGGATCACCCCCCTCACAGATGGGACAGTGACCCCACAAGTGACCCCCCTGTGTCCCCCCTGTCCCATTTGGGACACAGACACTGGATCAGCCCCAATGACCCCACAAGTGACTCCCTGTCCCATTTGGGACACTGATGATGGGGGAATCCCCTCACAGCTTCAGGAATGACCCCACAGATGTCCCCCCTGTCCCATTTAGGCCCCAGACACTTTGAGTGTCCCCTTCTCACCCCTTTTTCACCCCATTTTTTCCCCCCAGCCGACCTGTCCCTGGACCCCGACACCGCCAACCCCTACCTGGTGCTGTGGTGGGACAGTGACCCCACAAGTGTCCCCCCTGTCCCATTTGGGACGCAGACTCTGGATCACCCCCAATGACCCCACAAGTGTCCCCCCTGTCCCATTTGGGACACAGACACTGGATCAGTCCCTTCACAGGTTCAGAATGACCCCACATGTCCCCTTATCCCATTTGGGACACAGACACTGGATCACCCCCAATGACCCCACA